TGTTCCAGTGGTCCCACTGGTCCCATCTGGTCCCATCTGGATTCCAACTCGAACTTCGGTCTGCATGTCAACAGGTCATGGGTGTACCAACGGGGCTAGGCGCGTGGGTGCTATTGCTGTTCCTGTTGTTGTTGGGAAACTACAATCGCTTCCCCCGAACAGAAGGGTACTTCCTCTAAGGTCCTCATGATTTTATGAATTTTTTATCCTTCCGGTCCGTTTCAGAGAAATCCTTTTCTTTTCCTCCCCCCCCCCCCCTCGGTTAGACTTCGTATGTGGGAAAACCTACTTAACGAGGCGATAAGAGCGGCCCCGATAAGTAGGCCCCAGCGTCAGAGGCTCCGTCTATTTGGGGGGGAGCTGCACCTGCTGGAAATGGAGAGATCCCATTTAGACTCTTTAGAGATGATTCATATGACGAGGGTGAATTGTGTTTTGGGGGAAGAGGTTAGTGTCTAAAGGTTGTTCACCCTGATTTGCCACTGTCCCCTCTGTGGATCCAACCTGAGAATGGCCTGGTTAACTTTACTACATACTACCGTCTTCCTCCGAACACAACGCACTATTATTTTGGCTGTATCTGGCCAGCAATATAGCTTGTATACATTCATTTTTGAGGTGCGTTATGTTCGGGGGAAGACGGTAGGCCTGGTTAACCACATAAATTAAGGTTAATCAGGAGTCTCAACTGCCTGCGTACTTAAGTTAGGCCTGGTTAATTAACCACATAACCTGAGGTTAATCAGGACTCAGGAGTCTTAACTGCCTGCATACTTAAATTGGGTGTGTGCTGCAACAATGGCTGTTCCTTTCCAACTCCCAAGACCATTTCCACATCTGCATTGTTGGTGGCAAGGCACTGGCAACAGAAGGTACCAAAAGATGTCACAAACGGAAGGCGAACATGATACCCGTATTTGTACCCGTATTTGTCCTCGAGGGTTGGATGTGTCACAAGGGGCATAAATGGTCTAGGGTGAACGCCGGTTTAGACGGGTTTGGACGAACGCGGTTCCGCACTGCAGTGGTGGTTTCACTTGCGAATGCATGTCGCGTAGCTGGGTATGCTACTGGTGGTCCCCGCCACCAGTTCGTTTCCCGGCTACTATTGTATCAGAGTTCCAGCTTGCATGATGCCACAACTTTCGGGGGCCGTCCGCCAGCGCAAAATATGGCTGGCGGCGCCTGCCACAAGGGAGGCCCGAGGCAGTTTTTTTTTTTTTTTTTTTTTGGCGCGCAGCACTTTTTCCGGCCTCAGAGGGGCAGAGTGCATCGGAACTACCGGTTGTCTTCAAGACGGACAGAGCCACGACATCTTCCAACAAATGCCAAAAGATAGCATTGAACCGATATTGAAATGCACCGATGTGGGGGCGTTCCCTACATAGGCATCTAGACCACCTTGAAAAAGAACAAAAGACAGAACAAACTCCAATGCATTGATGATCGAGTTACATCAACGTAGCATTATGCAAAGTGAAGACGATGCGAAGCACTTTTTCTCTGGGGCAGGAGACGCACACACTGTGGGCCAAAAGAGAAACGGCCCGGCGCAGGCCGCCTCTTTTTGGCTTGCGTCACTGGCCCATTTTGCTCCCGCGGCCGAGCCCCGAAATATGCGGCAGCGCTTTAACGCCCCAAACCGAGAAAAGCGTGGGGCCAAGTACTGGCAGTTTAAGCCACCACTCCATCCGGGCCTCTATTCTGACAAAGCAGAAGTCGCATCATTTCCCCTAGCCTAAGATCTGCTGAAGTGCCACCCTCAGGAAAGGAAATTGGAGTCCCAGGCCTGGGCACTGCAGATTTGGGCCCGGTACCTCCTGTCACAAAGAAAACTGAACAATGGTTTTGCTATTTTGTGATGGTAAACAAGCGCAATAATTACCAAACAGGGTGATTTTGCTATTCTGTGATTCGAGGGCCTAGTGTGAGTTAAAAAAAAAAAAAAAGGGCCTAGTGTGAGTACGAGGGCCTAGTGTGAGTACGAGGGCCTAGTGTGAGTAATACTAGCACTAGGCCCTCAAATCACAAAATAGCAAAATGAGTGTCCAGATGCAGTCGTTCCTTTACGAGGACTCGATCTGGCCACTCATTTTTGAGGGCCTAGTGTGAGTATGCCCTATAAGTGGGCAAACATGCTTTTTCTGGTTTTTCCATTTTTTTTCCTCTAAACCATTCCTCAATTCATGCTCGCCATCCTTTTTGCAAGGGTGATGTCCCAAAGGACGGCAAACATGAGTTTATGATTTATTTAGGGTGAAAAATTAGCACAGCAGCCGGGCTGCACAGAGCAAGCAATATCCTCAAACTGCTGCTCAGACTGCTGCTCTTTTCCACTGATTCGCATTTTGGATCATATCTCAGTTCATGTCATACATAACCAAACATAATATCCCCCTTATTACTGCAATATACTGCCACCACCGCCAAGCTGTCCCCTCTCCAGCCCACCCCCCTCCCCCCTCCACCCCCTTTCATATAATCCCACGCCACTGACATTATCTTCACTTAGATGTTTTTTTGTTTTTTTTTTGTCGAAAATTGCCTTAAGAGGAAAGGGAAGAAGCAGCATGCTACATTATCCCAAATCCGTTCAAAACAGTGACAAAACTGTAGAGCCGCTCGAATTGCTATTTTTCTCACCTGACCATGTTCTTCTGGGTGTTTCAATCATGCCTTTTCTCTTTCCTTTTCTTTCCTTTTCTTTTCGTTTCGTTTCTTTTCGTTCCGTTTCCGTTTCCGTTCCGTTCCGTTTCGTTCCGTTTCGTCCTTTTCAACGAGTGCCTTCTAAACACTTAATTGGCGAAGCAGCGGTGTCCGCATTTTCAAAACCCTACAGTCTTCACCCGAATAGAGCGCCCGGTCATTATCGCTGCATCTGGACTGAAAAATGCCCCAAATACAGCTATAATGACCGGGCGTTATATTCGGGTGAAGACGGTAGCCGAAGAAAGTTCCCTCTTGGTTACCCTTTTGATCCGACTTGGAACAACAATCGCCCTCCTCCTTCAAGTCCTCACCCGTCAGCATCCCACCAGCCTCTCTCTCTCGCTCTCTCTCTCTCTCTCTCTCTCTCTCTCTCTCTCTCTCTCTCTCTCTCTCTCTCTCTCTCGCTCGCTCGCTCGCTCTCTCGTGTGCATATAACCTGCTGCGCCGAGCAATCGACTTGACATATTCGAAACGGCTGCCTACGTCCTCAGCCTCCCGACTTTCTTCAAGTATCCCCTCTCTCATGCCCTCTGCCTGGCGAAAGCTTTCCCTACCCTCCCTACCCTCTGCCTTCGCTTTGAACCGCTGCCGTATACTCTTTTCCTTGTTCTCGTCGCAATTCGTGTGATTACTGCCACGGTCGGTCATGGGCATTCGTCCTTCCCCCTCATCTCTCGTTATCCCCTTTGCCCCCCTTCCGTTCTCCTCTACAACTTCACACGATCGTTCTGCTCATCATCCTCCCTCCCACTTCTCCTCCCCCACCGACCTCCTCCCTACCACTTCCCTTCCGCCTTTCGTACCAGCCTCCGTACCTTTTTCCTCCTCCTTCCCGCTCCATATCTGCTCCTTCACACTGCCATCTCATGCCGCGTTTCTTTCTTCACCCTTCTTTTCTCCCCTCTCCACTAGAATGGCCACATTACAGTTTCTCAGTTTCTGCTCGCCGCCGTCCTCTCTCGCAACCTCACGACTCTCCGCACCTCCCCCCTCCCTCTCTCTCCCTCCCATCTTCCTCTTTCCTTCATTTCCCTTCACATCGCCGCATTCCCGCCTCTTCTTCGTCTTCCCACCCTGGCGCTTGCGAGCGCTGAAAACGTTGCCACTTCCAAAGCCGAAAGGTCACCCATTTCTCTTGTTCCCACCTTATCGAAACAGATCGCTAGAAACAGATCGCTAGAAACGGATCGCTAGAAACAGATCGCTAGAAACAGATCGCTAGAAACAGATCACTAGAAACAGGTCGCTACCGAAGTGTGGGGATTCTTTAATGCGAGGAAGAGTAAAATCTTTACTTAAACAATTAAACTTTAAAAAAAAAACTCGAAAAAAAAAAAAAAAAAAAAAAAAACTTCAAATCTCTTCTTCGCTGCTCGGAGTAGGTGTTTTTAGGTGAATCTCAGAGAAGTGGGTCTCTCTCGCAACCTGACTCCTCCCAATTTCCCCCTCCCTCTCTCTCTCCATCCATCTTCCTCTTCCCTCCTTTCCCTCCACATCTCCACATTCCCACCTCTTCTCCCCCTTCCCCCGCCCGAGGCGGCTTGCGACCGCCTCCACTCCTGTGTATTATGACAAAAGCATCAACTTACTGTGATAAGAGGAAGTACAAGAATTTTGAAGGAAGAATAGGGCTCACTGATTATACCTGCCTGCATGGGAGCTGTGGCTGCATATGGTACACAACTGAGAACTATTGATCAGCACAGGTTAGGCGTTCAAATCCTGCCTCAAAGAACACAACAGCGCTCACTGAAATTCGCAAAGAAACGAATTTCTCATACAGTTAAGAGAGGCGGTCTGCCCTGAGAGGAGGGAGTGTGAGAAAGAGAGAAAGCGCTGTGTAGATGATGAGGAGAACTTTCCTTCTTGCTTTTTCATCTTCTTGGTCGCAATTTTTTAAGTTCATTTAGTGTCATAAATAGCATGAGACCGTTGCAATCGGCGCGCTCTGAAAAAATAGGGATTATGATCCGCGAGCAGGATCATCATTACACCCAAAAAAACGGACTTAAGACAGAAATAACGCCTTCATTATTATTACGTACATTACTTGCTAAGCGACAAAATGAGCCCGTAAAATCCACCAAAGCCTAATTATATATAATTAGGGCAGAACGAAAGAGGGCATACAAAGGATAGCAGACAACGGCAGGAGAGAGGGGTGAGCTGGAGGGCTTGCTGCATAATCATCTAGTTCAGATCTCGCAAATTGTACTTAACCGAAACTGGCAAAAGAATCTTTTCCCATCCCGACATACTGTTATAACCGGAAATGTAAGAACGTGAAACAAAACCTACCCTGGGCAAACCCCTTGAAAATTGTCCTCCCCCCCCCTCCTCCTTCCCCCCTCCCCCGCAAGCGACTCCTTTTGTCCATCACACACCCTTCCCTGCGCATTGCATTCGACATAATGTCCAGGCACAGATGATGAGAATGTTAAGCCAACAAACACACATAACGAGGATGAAACGAGAAGGGCAAAAACAAAAAGCGGGAAAACACACACATAACGAGCATGAAACGAGAAGGGCAAAAACAAAAAGCGGGAAAACACACACNAGAAGGGCAAAAACAAAAAGCGGGAAAACACACACATAACGAGCATGAAACGAGAAGGGCAAAAACAAAAAGCGGGAAAACACACACATAACGAGGATGAAACGAGGGCAAAAAAGGCGGGAAAAAAGACAAGACGTCCGGAAGGAGGGTGAGAGAAAGGAGAGAGGACAGAGAGGGAGATACACCCCCAAGTAACATACGAGGGGTGGAAGATAATGGGTACAAAGGTGGGGGATTATCTTTCACGACTTGGATATCAAAATCAACTGCATGCCATTCAACCGCCTTATTCGTCAATACCTCATCTCACTCCGAAACTTCCACGAACCTTCCGCGAACCCTCCGCGAACATTCCGCGAACCTTCCGCGAACGGGAGATTCATATTCAAAAATGAACACACTCTTATACAGTCAGTCACCTGGATCCTGCCCAAAAAAAACAGCGACGGCAATCCCAATAATCGCAATCAATTCACTTCACCCTAAATCACACAACAACAGGAAGGACAAATCTTTCGGATTCAAATGGCAGCAGGCCCCAAAATCAATTCACCCACTGGCAGCCTCCACTCCCACTCCGATCGTTTCTTCTTCTCCTCCTCCCCCCACACATCGCAAAATCAATTCACCCGATCGGCCGGTGCTTCTCTTTTTTTCTCCTCCTCGTTCGCCACCACTCCCGCTCCCATTGCTTCTTCTCTCCTCCTTCCCCACTGGATCCACCACAGCTCTCTCTGGCAGCCATAGCAGGGCATTAACATCGTTCTGATTCGGCTCGATATCCCATCAATCTCTTTACATTCATCTCAACTCTCACGTCCGGTTTAGGCTCGTTACCCCATCTCACCTCTTCCAAGAAGAATCGTTGATGGGATAAGACACACACACACACCCATAACCGATCCCGTAAGGATTCCAGATCACGTTTGATTTTTCCTGAACTTCGGTGGGAACGAACCCAAGATTAGATCGTCCTTCCACTGATCAAATTTAGTTTTCATCTGAACCTTCCTTAATCAGACCTGATTGCACTTCCATAACCACCTTACGATGGCCACAGAAACCCTAGTTGATGCCACAGGAGAGGGTTGAGACGAGATCCTTAACGAGACGAGAGACAGAGACGAACCTGGAAGACAGAAGACAGACGATAGACGAGACACCCGCCGCCATAGCAAAATGAGAAAATGGAACCGGAGGATGAAGAAGAAGAACAACAACAACAACAACAGGAAAACAAGAAGAAGAAGAAGAAGAAGAATGAGAAGAAAAGTGTAACCGATTTGGAGATAGACAGGAAACAGGGGTAGCAAACGATAGTCAGTCATCAGAAGAAAGAAGCACCCTCACCACCATAAGGGTTCTATTGCAAACAGCCAAGGAGGGGGGACGGGGGGGAGGGGGAAGCCCAGGCCGGAGGAACCACCTTCCGCCATAGCCGACAAAGCATGTAAATAGCTGTCTGAGCAGCAGGACTACCCAACAAGCGCAACAACAGAACCATCGAGACACATCTGTGTGTACTGGGAAAGAAAGGGAAGAGACTCCGCCGTCGATTCGATTCAGAAAACATGCCGCAGCATCATTTCAACGCAATCAATACCAGAAGAGAGAACTTAGGGTTTTGACAATATGCTGATGACACTTGCTCCGTCTTCCCATCGATTGTAGTGTGGTGATGACGATGGTGTGATGATGAACAATCACGACCAGTACTCGACGACGTTACGCAGTCACCTGCTGCTGCAATTCTCTCGGCACTCCATTCCCATCAACCCTGGCATGATGAACAATCCTCACAACGCTGGCCAGGTTCTCCCGCCATTGCAGAAGCTTGGCCCTCAAATCGACCCACTGCGATGGCCCGAAGACCCGCTGCAAGCATCTATTAACCACAACCACTTCTCTCATTTGATCCATCTTCGCCTCCAAGAGCTTGACACTGATCGCGCGTACTACCCACATCTCCACTTCGTCTTCGTCAATCTCCAGATTCCGCCTAATTACGTCATACGGAATCTCGCCGTTGGGCGCCTCAACGCCGAGCGCAGCCAGGGACATCAACCTCATCTTCGTCACGCACTCCTCGTGATTCAGTCCTAGGGCTTCAATGACTGCCACACCCATCTCGTCGACGAAGACCAGATACGCATCCAGCTTGCGCGTCAGGAAGATCTTCAGAAGCCGATACACGTGGGCGTAGTCGGGATCGCTTTCGAGTTGACACACCGCCGCCATATCCAACAAGTCGCACTGGAAGATATCGGTAGCCTTGATATACTCCACCGCCGCTCTGACAGCATATTCCCTGACGTCAGCGAGTCGTTGAGGATCTTCACCAGAGAAGGTAGAGAGGAACTTGAGCAAGAAGTTGAAAGACTCCTTAGCCGCCGCCGAGCCTCGGCCTTCCCTCAACAGATTCGTCGCCGTCAAATAGAGGCCCCTTTGGTCCTGAACGGTCACATTCCACTCTTTCAAGAACGCCTCCAACCTCTTAAGCGAGGGAGTGACAAGGTCTGTCACCTTGGCGGCTATGGCGAACTCAAGCAGGCGTCTGTACAGGAGGAACCTAGCATAAGGAGCCTTCTTGATGGTGTTGTACAGGTGGAAAAGAAGCTTGATCTTAAGCGCCGCCTTGCTCGTTTGCGCAGTCAATGCGGCCGTGATTTGGCTCGACATTCTCATCGCTTCTTCCTCGCTAGTTGCTTTCGCCGCCACATTGCAGATAACCATGAAAATGCACTCAAGGTCTTTATCAGAGGCATTGGAGAGGACGATGTCCGCCGAGGTCACGAGAAGGCTGACTAGGTCGACGTTGCGCCCGGCCGCCATTAAATCCTCCGCCTCCGCGCAGTACTGCGCAACCGCCGGCTCAGATATGTCTTCCCCGGCGTCCGCCCAAGCCATTTGCGCGACATAGCGTGCAACGGCGAGGGTCGGCTCCTCGTCGGACGTCTCCACAAGGGTCGTCATCTCTTCGCGCTGTCTTCACCCGCCGCTCAACCTTCCGTCGCACACTTGGCGCGACCGCCCCGTCCCGACGGACCTTCCTCTGACTGATTGACAAAAAGGAATGGAAGAGAGAGAGGCGGCGATCGACAGAGGAGGGAGATATGGACAGCAAAAGACCGATCACACAAAACGGCAGGGAGACAACAGAGGAGGACGAAATATGGCCTCGACGGCGATGGCTGAGGCTATGGCTACGGCTACGACGATGGATATACCCCTCCCTCCGGCGTCTGCGGCCCGCCGCCGGGCTGTAGCAGTGCTGATCTCCGCCGGCCGACCTCTGGCCCTGGAGCAAAAGGACCACGTAACGATCGAACCATGAATTGTCGTGAGCGAGGAGCGGAGTGCCGTTGGCGATGGCGGCAACAACCGTCCCCAGGAAGCACGTACACCGGCCCGGGCCCGCTTCAGCACACGCCAGCCCATAGGCCCCCGAAAGGCCGATGTGCCGATAAGCGGCCCAGGTGATGCTTTTTTTTTTTTTTTTTTTTTTTTTTCTGTTCCTTTCTGAACAAGCGGTGCAGGGTAGCTCATCAGTTGGTCAGACATGCATGTGGTATTCAGGAGTCGCGGGTTCAATCTCCATTGACCGCCTGGGCACGCTTGGAGCACACCAACTGAGATAGTTGGCTGGCTCCCCTTGATCGGTAAGGGTAGGGTCTTTGGCCATCATGGGTGGGTGGGTGGATGGGTGTGTGAGAGGAGGGGGGGTGGGTAAGTGCTGGCCATAGACACTGCTGTTACTCAATGGGGGCGGGGTGCGTAGGAGGCGCAGCTACTGGAAAGCCCCGCCCTACTCCCTGACCACCACCGATTCCAGCAGGGGGCAACATGCATCCCTTTGATTCTGAGAGGTAGCTATGCTTGCAGGGTTCCACTGTATAGGCTTAGGAGTAGTGGTAGGCAGGTTCTGAAAGGTGAAATTGAGGGAAGGAAGGATAAAAAAAAAAAAAAAAAAGAGCATTGTATAGGGACGCTGGACCCGGTTTCCAGCAGGTGCCGCTCCCCACCAGTAGATGGAGCCTTCAAAAAGGGAGGACACTTATCGGGGATGCTCTTATCACCTCGATAAGTGACCCGCCCACATGGTGCCCAAGGAAAAATACATGTATGAGCAGCGAAAAGTAGGGAAGGCAAGGCGGTCAGTCTTCAACCCTCAGGCTGAGCACCACATCAGATAAAGCATCAGAAGGAGAAACAGCCTCATCACCCTTGGCCACAGACACCAACTGATCCCACAGTCCCCCCTACCAATCAAGTATTCCTGTGACGCCCAACCTCACGCCTAGCGCGACTTCCTGTTTCGGAGTGGGAGAGGAGCCGAAAGTGCGCAAAAGGTGTGTGCCAAGGATTTTAGGAAAGTGGGGTGGAGTCCCAGGTCGGAACTGAGATCTTCGGTGTCAAGTTCCAAGGACAGAAGTGCAAGTGTTTCAGCGAGGGACCAGTTTTTCTGATTCTACGTTTTCTCAGAGTCGGGCAGCTAGTTTTGACTGCCTCATCGCCTGGGGCAGGTTCGTATCGCCTGCCTCATCGCCTGGGGCGGGTTCGTATTTTGTGTACAGAGGGAACACAGTGGGTGTCCTTCTGTGTCAACACCTGTCATCGGCGGGTTTCACAGATCTCAGAATCTGACGTAGATGGCCTCAACCGGAGGCTGTGTTCTCGGCGCTCAGCTTCATAACAGGTTCGTCAGACAAATCTGGCAGCCCGGTAGGCGTAATACTACTGGCACTCAAAGCACGGCCTTCGGGGCCAGTAGGGGGGTATCGCATTACAAGGGACGACTGTTATATTGTGGTAGGGAAGAAGAAGATAGGAGGGAGGGAAATTAGTTTTGATGGCGATGGATCCCGACTCCATGTAATACTGGTGGTTACGCATGTCGGGGTAATTCGGGATTCAAGGGTTTTGTCCTATGGCCCGCTGAAAGCCTCATGCACACATTGGATCATTTTCAGTTTGGCAGGGAAATACCGGAAGTCTTAGTTTCCATCGACGAGAGAGGTGCTCGTTTCCCCATTACCTTCGGTACTCGCGATCTCTGAGACAGTCGTGGTCAGTGATTGAAAACGGAATGTTGTTGTCCATATCTCATGAGGAAGACTCAATTCATACATTCGTGCGTGCAGGGTACGATTGGGTGCGATGGGGTCGAACACAGATCACGCAGACACGTGTATAGGTGAGGATTGCCCTTTTCGTGGTCATTCGTATACGTGTGTGCTGAGGATCTATCTCTGAATAGGTCGTGAGGCTATCTGTTATGCATGCATCTATTTTATTTCCAGTTTATCCAGGAAGATGACATCGACAGACTAAATGCAAAAATAAACATTCGATCAACACGACATACACAAGAACATGGGCGCGCCAAAGGAAAGGAGAAAAAACAATTTCCCATACATCAACAACATGCCCAATCCATACATATCATAATCCCCTGACTCAGCGATTGATAGCATCCATACATTCAAGGCAATCAAACAATCAATTGACTTTTGCAACCATCTTACACCCTCTTTCGAAAAGAAGGAGATGGGGGAAAAAAGGACAATTCACATATCAATCGAAAAAATATATATATGAGATTGCCGCAAATGAAGGAAGCCAAAACCAAAATCAAAATTATACAAAGGATGCGAAAAAATAACACCACTTCGACACACCACGTTTTTTTTTCCCCCCCTCTCTCTCAACGTTTCTCCGATGCGGGCAATCTGTTACCTCACACCTACTAACAACCCGAAGTTGTCACCCCGCTTAGTCCGGGCATGCAAGCCAGGTATGCCCGTGTGCCACAGTCCTTCGCGACCACACGTCAACCCCGCATACTCAGCAGCAGCCCGTCGGATCGCCCAACTCCCTACTCATGCTTTTGTCTCTGCTCGTTAGCCGATCCTCTCGTACATGCTAACTTCAAGTGTAGATTAGAGAGATAAATTAATCTCGCTTACATAATTTATAACATTTAGCATTGACGCGAGATAATTTTGGATTACGCTGAAGCAAAAGGAAGAGTGAGGAAGGGAGTGCCTACAAGTGCATGACTGGGCCGCGGTGTGGGGGACGTAGCCGCTCTCCACGCATCGATCCAGTCATGCATTTTCTCGCCCAATGAGACAAACAGAAAAAAGGCGCAGGTCTTAGCGTGGAAGGAAATCAAAAGGTATAAGATTATAGTTACACCCGCGATCGCCGAGAAGAAGCAAGAAGAGATTACAGTTGCGATTAAAATTTAGGCATGGCGGGAGCAGAGCACAGGACATGACGCAGTAATGCGCGCACGCGTAAGGAGCATCGTGCAGTTACAGAAGCAAAAATCCGCGACAAAATTACAATGCCCCCAATTCCTAACCCACTTAAAGTTATAATTCTCGTATTTCCCATATTTCAAAATTCAAAAAGATCTCTCTCGCGCGATGATCATGCCAAAATTCCCTTCCACACTTTTAGCAGAACAAGAAAGAAGCTACGACAACAATTATTTTCACGCCCGCTAAGGCGCACCCTAACTACCAACCACCATGGGACCAAGCTTTCTCAAAAAGACGGGGGCATTTGTGTAATTGAGCGGGCCCTTCCCATTCAACCCCGAAATACAGTCGCGCAGAAAGTCATGCGTTTTAAAAAGCAATTCGTCACATTCAGCCTTGGAAACTTTATCGAATATCTCCTATGGCACTATCAATATGGGCAGAAAGCCAATGGTGCCCCCCAGTGGTTCCATCTGACCCCCAGGTTCGACTGAGGTCCGTAGGTTTTAGGAGAAATACGCAAGGAGCGCTGGACACGGTTTCCAGCCTTTATGGCTCTTTTGTCTATCACACGGTCATGTTTTTCAAACACAAAACAAGAAGGGATAAGGAAAGGAATGTCTTAGGGGTGGGCAAGACATTGGTGCCCCTAAGTGGCTTCGGCTAGCCTCCAGAGCTGGCAAGGGTTGTAAGAAGGCAGGTAAAGGGAAGGATAGGGGTTGCTAGTTTTATGAGTAGGATCTGGCATCCGTTAAGAAGGATGAGGAGGCATACCCGTTGGTGGGAATTAGACATGGCAAGGGACGCTGGACCCAGTTTCCAGCGATGGTCACGATGATTTTCTCAGTCTGTTTCATGTGCACGTGTCTCTCTTTACTTGACCTATGCATTTTTGTAAGGGACGCTGAGCACAATTCTCAGCACATGCTGCTCCCCACGAATAGATCGGAACTTGTATGTTCATTATTAATAAATAAAAAAAAAACACTACAACACACTCTCCTTCTCCAATCCAAAAGGATGGTTTGGTGAATTTCTGCTCAAGGATTTTGTTTTGCAATAGATACAACATTTGTCGACTCGGATCCACACTTTGTCATTGTGGCGCTTCCGAAGGTTCCACAACAACACAACCCTGATTGACTCATACGCATACGTCCTACACCCTGGAAGTTGTAGTATAATTGTGCCCAACAGTACTGTATTAGTAGTCCAAAGGGACCCCCAATCTGCTAGGAAGGTTCAATGCCAGCCATGCTTGTCAAAAGTGCACCCCAAGGGGAGACATGCCACAAACATATGCTGCAGATCTTGGACCAAAAAGGCGAATCATTATGTTATCTATGACAGATTAACCACAACAAGCCCCCGTGCTAACCAACCACCAGTTTCTTTTAAACTGCCAGTACCTTTCCCATATATGAGTCGTCGGCTAGCGCGAGGCCATTTGCAGCCTCCGTGTTAACTGCCACACTATTTTTTTTTTGGTTGGCAAAGACACTGATGGTTTAAGCATTTTCCAAAAAGCGACCAAACTCGAAGAGCTGGCCGATGAACAATCATGGGTGAGCTCAGATGACCTATTCCACTTTTTAGTTATTTTCTACTCAACATCAACAGGTCACGGTGGCTGAAGCATAGCATATGCCAACCTCACAGTATGTTGAGTGAGCACAAGCATCTCTTTATGGTTTTTCAGGGAAATGGCCTCGAGGGGGATCTTCAAACTAATTGACACTGGGTAAATTCAGAGTCATTTTGCTCATCCGAGTTGTCGGAATTCGAGCGCTGGAGTCAGGATTATATTTCAACAGTTCACGGGTGTACTAGTGTAACGCGGCGCTGTCTCCTTTCAGGTTTCAGGAGCCTTGACAATCTTTCTTTCTTTTCCTTTCTTCCCAGAGTTGACAAGGGGTGGCAAGGCTCGCTTGAATATGCTTCGATCGGGGCTGAGTAAGGCGTGTGAGGCTCAACTTAACCCTGGTAGCTGCAACGACTGTTCGGTCGGGTCACCCCCAGACCAGAGGGTGACGATCCTGAGTGGTAGACACTAAGGTAGGATAGCGGGAGTAGGAGTGAGCCGGGTCTGACGCTGGCATCACGGTTGGACACACGCGAGAGCAAGTTTGAACCTAATTCAACTATTGAGGAAATGATGAA